AAGATAATCAAAGTCCCAGAAATAGTAATGACCCTGGTACATTCAAGATACACTAACTATAGCATTCTAGCTAGAACTGAGGTTTCATGTCTGTGAAGAGTGGAAACAAAACCTTAGGGAACTTTGGTGAACTTTGATGAAACTTAGGGAACCTTGATTCTAACTGATGACTGAAAGCTAGGGCTGCAAATTGGATGAAACAAACTGAAACAAGGAGAAAGGGCTAGGATTCCAGTCAGAGAAAATATTACTAAGCTCTAACTGCCAAAATAATACTGTTATTTTATCTTGGTAATCTTGATCAATTGCTAAAATTGATTTTACCCTGAAGCTTTATATCAGGGCAGTTGTGTTCAGGTGTTGTCTGGAAGTTTCCATTCTGCTCTATACATTGAGAGACTTTTAAAACCACTTTTGCTCCATTTAAAACCATTTCTCCCATCTCTCCACCATACTAATTTGGAGTCCTTCTGTAAGGTAGCTTGCATCAAATGGACAAGAATAGCTGCAACTGAAGCCTCTGTGGCTCATTGTTGAGGTTTTAAGGCTTAGAAAGAGTGTAAATAGAAATTGTTTTCTGTTCTGGCGAGAAACTCTGAAAGTCTTCCCCTCCCAGATGGATATCTTTGTGATGGCAAATTTAGCCATCTTTTGTCTCAACTCTTACCCAGCCCTTAGTCATTGAATGGGCATGGCCTCAGACAAACTGAGACCTGGGAAAGCCTTTAATTTAGGGGTGTATGTTGGGCCACGGCCAGTAGTCTTGACCTTTGTCTTGCCACTGAACTTTATTGACTCTGGAGGAAACAGTAAGGCTGACTACTTTGTGCAGCTCTGCTCCATCCATAACCAATTCAGGCTCAAGTCAAGACATCACCCTCATAATGTCTGGTGGAGAGTGAAGGATGTATAACGTTCCAAAATCCTCACTTAATTCACTTCTTAGTCAACAGAGGGCGATAGAGACCACTTGATCAATTCCTTTCAATAATGATAACCAAGTATAGGCATCATAGACTACTTTCCAGTGGTTCTGTGTTCCATCCAATACCATAGGATGCTGTATAGTAATGCCAAGCTTTCTATGGCTCTCAGCAAGCCTACCTAGCTATGCTCCTCTTGTGGGTAGCAGTACTCTATTCCATATTTTATTTTATTTAATTTTATTATTTTTAGGCAATTGGGGTTAAGTGATTCTCCCAGGGTCACACAGCTAGTAAGTGTCAAGTGTTTGGTCTGAGGCCAGATTTGAACTCAGATTCTCCTGACTCCAGGGTCAGTGCTCTATCCACTGAGCCACCTAGCTGCCCCATTTTTTTTGTTTTTATTTTTTTATTTCTTATTTTTTTTTATCTATTCCATATTTTAAGGTCTTGGTATATGTGGCTATATCCAGATAGATTCTTGGTTGAGCCCCACCTCACCAGAAAACTGTCCCCCTTTCCTTCATGAATTTCAACAGAATTCAATTGCACAATCAGTGGTATAACTACATATAATTCCTTACTCATAACCATCTAAGAAAAGGCATAAAACTAAAAAAAGTGACCAGTGTAGTCTGGAAACACATAAACCCTTCCCGGAAACACATAAACCCTTCCCAGGAACACAGCACAAGTGTTGTTCATTTTCAAAATTTCTCAATCTACTCCTCTACTTCTAGGAAGGAGGGAGAGCTCACTCGTTCATAGAGATTAACCTAAGCATGGAATTCTCAGCTGGATCCCTCCCAGAAACAGCTCCCCATTGCTCTTCTTTGGTCATCTCTCTAACAGAAGGTACAGGTCTCCTTTGCCCTCCTTTACTCCAAGAAGTATAGGAATGTTGGCCAATTATGTTTTCCTTTGCAGAAAGTATGAAGGGAAGGTTGCTTACAAGGCATGATCTGCTCAGGTCTCTCAATCCTGACCAGACCAACAGAAGGAAGCAAATACATCTCTTGCCTAATGCTATTCCATTGCCTCATTTCTTTTACTTCATTTTTTTTTAAAAGCCCCACCTTCCCTTGTCCTGCCTCCTGTATCCCTTCTGTAAACCATGACCCCACTATCCTACTCACTTCTACCTCTCTGCTCTTGGACAGTTAACAGAAAGTAGGAAGACAGCCCAACAAAGGCACATTTCTAAGGTTCAATCCCTTCTCCTCCACTGCCTTAATGGGGCAAAGAAAGGAAGGTTTATCTGTACAATGGTTCCTCTCAGACTTACTATGGAGCCAATTTATCCCAGAGCCAAGTTCAGCCTTGCACCCATTTTATGCCATACCAGGTCCTGAGAGACAACAATCTGTTTCCTAGTTCCCACTCCCTTCTGTGGTCTGTGGTCTAAGGTCATTCAACCATGTTCATTAAATTTCTTCTTAGGGCTCCATTTATATTCAACTGGGCTCTGTCTTCTGAAGGTTATTCAGAAAAGAATTTCTCAGAAAAGTCTCTTTTTCCTTTCAAAACACCCAACTCTTTCTTGTGGCTTACCAGGTCATAACAACCGAGGGATTGCTTGAAGTGATAGTATTTGATGTCCTAAGTTTAAATCCCTCTTCCAGATGAGCCCCTTCAAAAATAGTAGGCCCATCACTGCTGGGGGTCAGACAGCCCAGTATATTGATGGAGACAATAATACTTTTTCTTAGAATAAAGTCTTGAACAATGAGAAACTATAAATAATCCAGTTCATCTTCAATTGAGAAAAATTTCTTTTTTTTTTTACATTTGTCCTGATCAATAGTTTTAGAAGAAATATCACTTTACCTTCAGTTGAAAGTGCTTTGCATATGTTAATTTTTAAATAAACTTTGCTTCTGTTTGCCATTTGATAAAACAACAATAATAATAATATTTTAGACTTACCTTAGAGTTCAACAAATTAGGGTAGATTGTTCTAGTTTTTGATTCACAATTTGATTTGATTCAAATACCTGTGAAGCATGTTTTTATTATGCCTATGATTTATATTTATTGCAATAATCTTGAAGTTCTTATCTAAGTGATAATGAAAATTAACTCTCAATATTAGCCTAATGTTTCATTGAAAACACATTTGTTCCCTGAGTATTTACTTTGATTGTTACCTTACCTGCCTCTATTACAAAAATAGAACCTCAGACACAGGAAGGGACTAGGGAATGGCAAAAGGTAAGGTGTAAAGAAAAAGGTAGAGAAAGAATTGTCGTGTTTCAGTGAAAGAAATGTTGGGTTTTGTCCCCAAGCACTATTCATGTAAGAGTAGTTCCTGTTCTATGGGCTAACTCTAATATTTTATTGAGAATTGTTAGGGCCCTTGACTCAGGCCTACGACTCAGGGATGTGCTAGCCCTTTGACTAAATCCAAACTTCACAGAACAAATCCCCTTAATAAAAGGACTCAGTTAAAAGGTGGCATCCAAGGACCTAGAAGGTCACATGTGACCTTGAGGCCACAGGTTCCCCACTCCTGCTCTAGAGTACTGAAAGTTAGAGGGTGCTAAGAGCATTCTTTTAGCAACAAAGAAACTACTGAACTTAGTACCTAGTTAACAAGTGTAATTAGTTTTAAATGGAAGCTACCAGATGATGGTCTTTACCTTTTCCCAACTGCTCCCACAAGACCCTTGTGATGTCTTTCCAATGGAATACAACAACACTCCAGAGAAACTGATCTCCACCACATACATACCCCTAACTGTTCTGGAAAGGACTCACCATTTCACAGGATTTCTGTTCCACAACTGCATATGCACAATTCCAACTAAATTTGTCTTAAAAACATATTTAAGGGTACTTTTTGTGAAGCTGCCCTAAATTTATGAAACTAGTTTGTTCATTACAGCTCTGATATTGAAAGTGAGTCACAAAAGTCTTGACAGCATAGCTTCCATGTAAATGCTTGGCTAATTCTGTATTTTCCCTTGTGGGAATGATCCCTATAACAAGTATGCTTCACCATTAGAAGTTATCAAGTTCTTTTCCACAGCACAACCTCATGAATTGAATGATATTCTAACCAAGCTTGTACACCCAAGTTTACAGAGCCAATTCACAAATATACCTCAAACGTGGGATAATCTAAACGCTCTTGGGCCTGAGTTCAAAACCTACTTCTGACACTTACACCTGTATGACTGTTCTAGGCTGGGTTTGATTCAGGCCAGCATTCCAGTAGTTTGGAATGAAACACTCCTAGGTCGTGCAACAGTCAACAAAAAGAGGTAGACTTATGCATAGCTAGAGAAGAATATTCAAGAGGGATAGGCAACGGAGAACCCTTGGAGTTGATTCAGCTGAGCAAAACTCCCATTACAATCTACCAGTCAAGCCTCTCGTCTGAGAGCTCCTCCAAGCTCCTCCTGGCTGCTTTGTAATTAGGCAATGAGAAATTAAAGTCAACAGTCTGAGCATCCTCAGTTCCCTGAACCAACCACGTCTCAAGAAACGTCTCAATACGTTTTAAGGAATAACTAGACTAATCTGCATGAGGGGAGAGGTGAGGATATTGCTCCTACCACATTGACCTTAGGCAAGTCACTTAAATTTTCAGCCTCAATTTACTCATCCATAAAAGGAAGGGGTTAAGCTAGATGACTTTTGAGGTCCCTTTCAGCCCCAAATCTACTGTCCAATGATCCTTATTTACCAGAAATGGAACTTTTGGGAGCTGTTGCTTACATCTCAGGGTTTATTTTAATGCTTCCATTTACCATATAGTACGTTGTTTTGTAACCCTCTACAGTACTTAATCATGCAGTATTGTTGATTATAACTATTTGCATTGGAGTTTTATCCCCATTTGTTGTTCAGTTGTTTTCAGTCAGGTCCAGTTCTTTGTGACCCCATTTGGGTTTTCTTGGTAAAGATACTGGAGTGGTTTGTCATTTCCTCTTAAGCTCATTTTTACAGGGGAGGAAACTGAGGCAAACAGAGTTGGGTGACTTGCCCAGGGTCACATAGACTGTAAGTGTCTGAGCCCAGATTTGAACTCAGAAAGATGAGTCCCAGGCCCATCACTCTATATACTACTACACCACCATATACTCCTTGAGAAGTACCTTATCTAAACTTTGTCTGTCCTCCAGGGCCTAGTATATCAACCTATACAAAGTATAAGCCTAATACATATTTGTTGATTTGACTTTATCCATGAAAGAACAAGTTTCCTGAATTATTAAAGTGGTCATATACAACCAAAAGAACCTTTCTATTTGCTGCCTCTTTAAGAATCCCTTTTCTCTTATCATTTCTGGCTTTTACTGAAACCAGATGGCAAAACCAAGAATGAAACAGCCCTTGGTGTCCAGAAGGAGGTGAGTCTGGCCAAAGGATTGTCATTCCTGTCAAGAATGAGAGTAAAAAGCATTTTTGTATGGCTAATCATCAGTAGTATTTAGCATCTACGTTTGCCATTTATGCAATGTGTCAGAATGAAGAGCCCATCCACACTCCAGATGAAGCCATATTGGCAAGAAATGTGTTTCAACATCCTTCAGCTATGAGATGAGCAAATCTTCATGGTTGGTTCCAGAAGCAAATGACATTACAGGGTAAGGTACTTGACCTCTTCTTCTCAAGTTTTCTATTTATTGATATCTTCATTTATAAAACTGCACATATCTTCCCAGTAAACTTGCCTCCAGGCACCAAGGAATTCATTGAAAACACCTCCCAAAAAAACCTAAGGAGTGAAATTAAGTAAATACTTTAAAGGAAAAAAATCAACCTGGAATGCATCTTGTCTGGAAAGAAAAATCAATATATTTTTTAAAAAAGTCTTTCCTTCAAGCCTGGGAGTAGTCTCTATGATAAATTACACTCAGGAAGGCCTAAGTAACATTGTGAATAAACTTATAAATGCTGAGAGCTGAATTATGAAATCGTAGAATATCAGGCTTAAAGAGGACAGAATTTGGTCCACACTACTACATACTAAGAACCTGACCTTGGAGAGGAAATGGGCTTACCTGAAATCACACAGCTAGTTAAAAAGTCAAGAGTTAAAATTGGAAGCCAGGTCTCCCGACTCATTTCACTGTTCTTCCCACCACAGAATAGAGTTCTAGAAAAGGAATATAGAACTTAACATTTTTTTTTTAATGTCAAGTGGTTTGACTTACATCCTGTATAGGAAACTGAGTGGGACTATTAATTCATGGAGAACTAGACAACGAGCAAATCATAAATGCAGCATAAGGGTCCTAAAAGAGTCGCATCTCTGAGCCCCTACCCTACATTGTCTGGACCCAGGCACCAAAGTAAATATAATGCAATAAAACCAGATTTTAAAATAGAGCATAAAATATTTTAAATAGAAATCTTGATTCCTGTGTTGAATCTTTGAATATTATATCAATTAGATGTTACTGTTTATTGTTACAATCAACTTTCAAGTCAGATACTTTGAGTTTAAGCTTAATATAATTGAAATTTTGGAAGAACTACAACCCCATAACACCAATATTATTTCTGATAACATTGGATGATTTGATTTATCAATAAAGACTATAATTTACAATTCATAGTTTATGTACAAAATATATGTCGGTCCAATTTGAGGTACTATGCTTCATTTTAAATATATGTTTCAATTAATGTAAAGAAAGATACTTTGAGAAAATACAAGTCTCTTCATTTGAATTGGTAAAATTTGAAAAGGATGATGGGGATCAACAAAAAGTTTGCTATAATAAACATGGACTTTTTAATTAATTAGAAGTTGTTCTTTGAAGGCATTCCAGAGTATTTGAGCTACAGAGGAAACAAGATTCACTGATTTTGTATTTGTCCTCCTTTTCATTTTTTAAAAGTTTTCTGTCCTTCCTCTAATATTTTGGGAAGCTAGTTTCCTAAACAAGCTTAAGATTTTCATGAATAACTCCCACCTTACTTTCCTACTCTTCCATCTCCAAAACTTGAAAAAAGATAGAGGCCAAAAAAATGTAAGAAAACAGAGACATCTTTACCTGGGACCCATGGTTATTAGTATTTCCTGTCTAAAAGGTTGGTATTCTTCAAACAGATAATATAGACCCTGGGAAATTTCATCTTTTTTGTTCATTTGTTTGTTATTCTTCCACAGTTGTATTAAACCAGGTTGTCCTGTGACAAAACATAAGAACAATAATGAAGCATTTAGGTTAAAAAACAAAAGCCACAGGAGGGATCAGTAGTGTGGGGGACTGGTTTGCATACATTTTGTTGTAAGAGAGTCTGTGCTTATGACAAATGTCTTTTGATTGGCCAATTGTGGACGTCCTGGAAGCCAAATTCATTGGAAGAAAGCTTTCTCCGTCCTCACATTAGTTGCTAAGTCAGCCAATCAGATAAAGACATCTTTTGAGCAGACACAGCAGATACCATTCCATACATTTAAAGGAACATGCTTCCCTTTACTACCCTTTGTTAAGTTAAATGAGAGATACTTCATTTTAGTCTGGTTTTCCAAATAGGAAAGTGGTTTGTTTGTTTGTTTTCAGACTGCAGCATACTGTAAACTATTTTTCATGGGCTCCAGGGATTTTTTAAGGTAGTCTAGTATTTAAAATATTTCTATTCACTAATTTAGCAGTCAGCTATCCTATTAAGGAAATAACTTTAGCTTAAATGAGGACTCTGGCCTTTCATCTTTCAAATTATGGGAAAAGACAGTTTCTTATTCTAAAAGTCTCTTCAGAAAAGAGAATTTAGAGATTTGTATCATTTTCCTTCCCTAGTTATATCACATTATAGTTTAAAGAAATATCACATTATAGTTTAAAAAAACCCCAAAACTAAAGATAACATGTAAAATTACAGTTTGTGTCATAAAGTCATGTATCACAGATTTTCTTGCTGTTGTCTCCAATTTTTACTGCCTCAGATGAAGTCATAGGACACTGAATGATAAGGTTAAGAAAACTGGGAGGTGGATGGGGGAAAGAAATCTATTTGAAATAACTCAGTATTTAGAATTGCTTTCGTCAGGAGTTTGGTGACATCTAGTGGAAATAGTGTGTAGCCAACTGTCCAAACTTTTTTCCAAAACATCCTCTTTAGAGAAGAATGGAATTAAGAGGAATAAAAAAGATATTTAACAAGAGTACATTGGGAAGCCCATTAGAAGAAGGTATTTGTACTGGTGGAACATATTCCTGTGAAGAGGAAATCAGTCATGTTGGAAAAAGCTGCCATCTAAGCAAATAATGTTAAAGCTCAAAGTGCTGTGCTGTTATTTATTGTACATGTAGGATATTGGAACAAATTGAATTCAATTCAACAAGTGCATATAAGGCAACTCCTATGTAAATACCAAATGACAGATGTCCAGGTTCAAACCCTGAGGCCTATAGTAGAGAAGTAACTTGCTGAAGGTAGAGGTAGTAAGTATCAGAGCTGGAATTTAAACCTAGGTCCTCTGTCAGCTCCAAATTTAGTGCTCTTTCCATTCTACCACATGACCTCACCATTGAGAGAAACCATGTGATATGGTGACTAGAACGCTGGATTTAGATTCAAGACGACCTGGGTTCAAATCCTACTTCTAACAATTACCAACTTTGCTGGGATCATGGAGTCACTTAAAATCTCTGAACTACAGGCAACTCCCTAAAACATCTACTGTTACAGATGGGGCCACAATATGCCCAGGTGGAAAGATTTTCCACACTAACAAAAATCAAAGATCTTTGACAATTAAAATGATGAATTTGGTGATGTAGGATTTGGATGAAAACATAACTTATATGAGGTTCTTTCTTACTATAATTTGAAAAGAAATCCTAATGTCAGCCTCAGAAATGTTACATTTGTGTTTATATATAGCTCCGTCCATGGAGTTGGAAAGATGCCCAATCTTGGCTGTGTTTGGGGATTGTGAGCTCCAAGAGAGCTTAGCATTCGATTTACTTAGCTTAATGTTTTGAAGCACCAACGTATAGCATCTGGCAAACAGTCTCCTAATTCTAATCTGCCCAACCAGCTATTTTTCATATTGGTTTTCTTTCAGGGTAAAGTTCAAGTAAAAGGAAGTAACTACCAGGAAGTCCAACATTAAGATAAACGTTTCCACTGGAGCAAAGGAAAAATTAATATCTTTAATCAAAATTCCACACTGAGTCAAACTCAAGGTTTATGAGGAGAAATGCAGAGTTAAAGAAACAATAATAATCAGGAAATTTCAAATTTAAAAGAGACTTCAGCTGATACTGAGGCTTGTCTAAATTATAGTAATAATAATAATGGCATTATAGCCCTTTAAGGTTTGCAAAGGACTTATATGAAAAGATCCAGTGTACTTAACTGGAATCCATGAACTATATATACATATATATATATATATACATATATATATATACACATACATACATAATATACATACTACATAATACACATAAGTATATAGTAATAACTAGTTTCCTTTGTAATCCTATGCATTTTATGCATTTACAAATACTATTGTGAGAAGGGGTAGATAGGTTTTACCAGACTGCCAAAAGGGTCCATGATACAAAAAAAAAGAAAAGTTAAGAATCTCTTATCTAAATGATACATCATTAGAAGAGAATGATCTGATGAAAAATTCCTTGATGTAGAAATAAAATAAAAATTAAATTAAAAAATAAAATGAAAATGTGTCAGAAATTGAAGTGTAGCTATGAGAATGATGTAATGTAAAAGCTGTGCCAAACTTCCCTCCCTTCTTTGCAAAGGTGAAGGTCCATAAGTATGGTATACTACAAATAATGTCAGACTTTTTTGATGTACTAGTTAGTTTTGCTGAACTACTTTCTTTCTTATTCTTTGTTATAAAGAATGGCTCTCTGGAAAGAGGAAGGATAGATTGGGAACTGTAAGTAATGTAAAAACAAAATAGATAATACTTTTTTAAAAGCTATGCCCAAAAAGAGGAGTGGGATGTTGGGACAACAATCTATAAAATTCAACCTGAGATAGTAGAAAATTCAGAATTTTTTTAACCTGAATTCTACAACATAGCTGAATTACATTGGTCTTTTTGTTAAACAATAATGATATGTCACATTTCCATAGAACTTTCTAGCTTACGAAGAGCATTCCTCCCAACAACCTTGTGAGGCAGGAGGTGCAAATATTATTATCCCCATTTTAAAGATGAGGAAACAAAGACAGTGAAGTTTTGACTCAATCATCACACAGTAAATAAATGGCAGGGTGGGGACTTGAATCCAGGTCTTCTGATTCCAAGGCCTTTGCTCCTTCCAACCTAGATAAATCAAATCAACAAAATATCTTTTGAACCTGAATTGTGGGCTTTGTATCGTAACATTTAATTATCCCATTCTCCCAGTGGCTTTACCTGCGTAGGCCCTACCTAGAAGTAGATCAAAGACATTATTATTGCTAAACTAGAAAATGTACCAAAGAAGTAAATATAGTCACAAGTCTTGTGTGTGTGTGTGTGTGTGTGTGTGTGTGTGTGTGTGTGTGTGTCTGGATGTGTGTTTAAGTCTGTTGGGTTTTGGTTTTTGTTTTGTTTTTTCCATTCTAAGAACCCAGTGACTACTATGACTAATACTAGCTAAGTTCCTAGGACCAATATATGCATTTATTTTATATGCTATATACTCCTACTTCAACAACTGACTTTAAGGTAGTCTTTTATTTCATTCTGGAGAACATGTCGCTTGTGTGTGAGAGACAGGTGGCAGCAGGGTTGCCATGGCAATTGCCTGTCACTAATGATAGGAGAATAATTACTGCAGCAAATTTCCACATTGCTGTTCAGCTCACAAGCCTGACTTGCCCCCTCTCCACAGGGGGCTTAACCCTTCCACCTTCCCCCGCTCACAAGATTCCATCATTTTTTCTAGGCTCTGACTGGGGAGCTTCTAGCCTTGACTGCAATGAGCAAGGTAAAACCTGCCTTCTCCGAGGTTGCGAGGAAAGATGATTCGCAGAGAGGATGAAAGCAACTACACGGATGAGATGCATATTTTTCTCCTCTTCAGAACAGTCTAAACTTGTTTTTGCTTTAATTAAAGTTTGCAGAAAATAAGCCCCGAGTATAACATAATCATGGATCAAGTTCAACAATTGTTTGCTTGAATATCCACATGTGGTTAATTACTGGATGCTAAAAATGCAAGATACAGTGTTTTTGAACTTATTTAGAAACCCATAAATCCAAGTGTTCAGTATTATTTACAAATCTTTCCAGGTCAGTTAAGAGGTGTTTTGGTGGCTGGAGCTGTTTAATATCTAAGGGAAAATATGCTTAAAAAAGAAAAAAAAACTTCCTTTGTGCATTAGTATTCAGTACACCTAATGAGCTTAAAAGGGTCATTTGGGGGCTTACCTTGGGTTCCTATTTTAAAAAAATGTCCCTGGTCCATAGATTATGGCAGGTAAACCTTGTTACATACACACGCTCGCATGCACACACACACACACACACACACACACACACACACACACACACATATAAATGCTGGAAATCAGCACAACAAACACACATTTGGGCTCCCATTTCTACTCACCATTAAACCTGGGCTCAAAATACTTCTCTTCCCGTTAAGTTCTCTGTTGAAATGCAGCGCTTAATTTCTTGGGCTCAGGGATGATTACTCCACAGGAATTGTTCTAATAAACAGGAAGTCTAGTGATGGTACCCTAGTACGTAGTGTTGCATAATTATCTTTCTTGTCCAGTTTTCTCTCATGTTTACTATATAAGCCTGTAGAGAAGAGTGAGTTTTGCTTCCTAAAAATGGAACAATCTCCATGAAAATGTGTCTCTTATTCCTTGGAGACTGAGATGCCAGGAAGTCCATCACTGTATCCCTAGAGTCTGGGCTGTTGGCTGGTGGCGGGCAGTGCTCTGATGGAATTTTCCTCCATGGCAAGAGTAGCTGGGAGGGTAAATAACCCTCTCATTTCTTTGCTCACCTATATTTTTAAAATAAGTGATTATTAAGTAAAGAAATATCCTGTAAGAGATTAACTACATAATTTACTGATAACCCCAAGTAAAAGGAAAAGGACAGAAATGGGAAATACTTCTCATACTCCTGAAGGTGATGTGGGGATTAAGGAGAATGTGGCATCCTGAACGTTCCATTGTAATAACCAGAGCTCTGAACAACCTTTCCAAACACTCAGATTGAGACTTCAACCCAAATCTGCCATTACATTCAAAGGCAAACAAGCCTCTATTTGAGGCTTTTTATCTTGGGGCCTAAGGCCTACAGGAAAAAATAAATCAGTTGAGAGATGATTCACTTGCCTTTTAGAATAAGAATAAATCAAATATAATTTAGTTCAGTAAATACTACAAAAGTTAAATATATATATATATGTAATTTACAGTGTTTTAAAAGTAAGGAAGCTCAGTGAAACAAAGACTAATTAGATGAGCAGGAGAAATAAAAAAATGAAAGAGGAAAAGAAAAACTCAGTGAAAAAAATACATCCAAGAAAAGAAAATTGATAACAGAAAAAGACAGGCACAAGGATCAGTAGTTTTGAAGTGAATATTGGCTGAATTAGTGTTTAAAGAACATCCTACTTTGATCAACTATGATAGACTTAGCTCTTCTCAGCAATGCAATGATCCAAGACAATTCCAAAAGACTTGTGATGGAAAATGCTATCCACATCCTTTTTACTTTTATTTTTTGTTTCTTCTTTCTTGTGGTTTTTCCCATTTGTTCTGATTCTTCTTTCACAACATGACTAATGTGAAAATATATTTAACATGATTGTACATATATAACCTTTATCAGATTGCTTGTTATCTTGGGGAGGGGGAGGGAAGGAGGGAGAAAAATTTGGAACTCAAAATCTTTGAAAAGTAAGTGTTGAAAACTATCTTTACATATAATTGGAAAAAATAAAATACTATTAAGTGCACCAAAAATAAAAGAAGAACATCCTCCTTGAAGACAGAGAACCAAGGTTCAAGTCCCAGGTTTGACTTATTTGTATAATCATATATAATCATACTCTCTCTCTCTATATATATATGTATATATATAATATGTATACAGTATATATTATATATGCTATATAATATATAATCATACTAGCTTCATGACTAGCTAAATCACTTTGCATTCAAGTCTCAGTATCCTCATCTGTAAATAATAATAATAGCACAAACTACCTTTTAAGAGTTGTTATTAAGAACTTATGTTGTATTGCATTTTATTTATTCTGTTAAATATTTCCCAATTAAATTTTCATCTGGTTCAGGCTGCACTGGGAGTTTGGGGGTAGCTTGGGGCCCAGATGGAGAGTTTGATTCCTCTGCTCTAAAGGGAATTAAATTTTACTGTACTGCTTTCCTCCCTCCATCCCTCCACCTCCCACCCTCCCTTACCTTTGTCATATGAAATGACTCACTAGGTAGGGATCGCAGGATCATAGATTTCATTTTGGAAATTATCAGGTCTGACTCATTTTACACAGATTAAGTAAGTGATTTGCCCATGGTCACATAGCTAGTAAGTATTGGGATTTGAACCTAAGTTTACCTGACTCCAAGTCTAGTAGTCTGGTAATATAAAATAAATAAATAAATAAATAAATAATATTGATAAAAAACAAGATATTAAAAAAATAAAGTGAACCAGAGGAAAACCACTAGAGCTTCAGACAGAGATGATCGCTAATCACCCTGAGATTTGTTTGTTTTTTTTTTTACTCAAACTAAAACTGACTTCCATCATTATCCCCATAGACCTGACTAATTTGGAACACCACCACCACCCCACCACCCCGTTGGAGCTATCCAAAGCACAACGGAAGCATCCCCATCTCAAAGGAACCACTCTTCTCTTTCATCCCAAAGGAACCACTCTTCTCTTTCATCCCAAAGAACCTGCCCATCTTTTATGCAGGTCCTCACTATCCATATCTAAAGCAGGAGGTTTCCACTTTCAGAGGCAGATTTTGCCCTGGACTAGATTCCTCTGCCTTTCTGGTTCCTGAATTTGCTCTGAGAAACCTTTAATCCATCTCCACCATGCCACAGTGTAACCTTAGGCAAGCGGTTTAATCTCTCTGCCTCTGTTTCCTTGTCTATTTAATGAAGGGTTTGGATTAGATGCAGGATCACAGATTTAGAGCAGGAAAGCACCCAAGAGGTCCTCTAGTCCAACCCTTTCATTTTATAAATGACGAAGGAGAGGCCCAGTTAAGTAATTTGCACTGGGTTACCCAGGAAGTAGCAGAACGGTGATCCAAACCCAGATCCTATAATCTGGAACCCCGCTGCTCCGAGATGACTTGTAGGGTCCCTTCCACATCTAAATCTATGATCTCTAAAACCAACAAGAGATCACTAGTACCTCTTCTCTAACATGCCCCACAGCAGAATTCATTAGGGTCCCTTCTGTTGTTTTTCAGTCATTTCAGTCATGTCCTACTCTTTGTGACTCCCTTTGGGGTTTTCTTGGCAAAGATACTGGAGGGGGTTTGCCATTTTCTTCTCCAGATCATTTTACAGGTGAGGAAACTGAAGCAAGCAGAGTTAAATGACTTACCCAGTGTCAGACAGCTAGTAAGTGTCTGAGGTCAGGTTAAAATTCAGGAAGATGAGTCTTCTTGACTCAGTGTTTTATCTACTGTGCCACCTAGCTGTCCATAGGATCTGTTTTATCCTAGACAAATCTGGTTCCCTCATATCAGCATACTGACCTCTTCTCTATCCATTCCTTATCCTCAGAACTACTCTGACTCCCAGGAATTAGGCCCTAAACTGATGGCACTGGCATACTTTCAATTAAGCATTTAAAGACTGAGGAAAAGCAAAATTTTGAGCACCTTTTTAAAGTCCAAACTCTGATTCATACACTTGACCTGTGTTTATGCTCACAAAAGCCTTATCTGGTCCTCGTCCTGGGCCAGCTCACACCCATCATTTCTTTATAATGTCTGCTACTCAGACTTCAGCTTTAGTTTTATTAATGTTCAGTAACTCTTACTATTACGTCCATTACCAGTGCTTGTGAAGCTTTGTAGACCTTAACGGATCAGAAGCACCAGGTTAGGAAGAGCAACAGTCACTAATCTCAGGCTATACCTAATTTGGGCAGGAGGCTCACCACCACCCTCATTTACAACTCTGATATTCTCCTCCATTGTTTGCCTAAAGTTTCCTTTTATTGTACATTCAACTCAAAAAAGGTTTTCAAATAATTATTACATTTAGTCTAAATGTATTTTAAAAGAAGGAAGCAAATTAGAATTTGCATAATTTCTTGAGCTCTTACCTAAGTTATCTCTACTTGTAGCTAAAAGTAAGATGGTATTTTGGATAAAACAAAACGAAATGCATTTGTCTGCTGCTGACCTTCCATAAAAAATATAATTACCATGACTTATGGTAGAAACCCAAGTAATTGAATGCTTTAACATTTTTTCAATAATTATTTTCATTTCCATGCTTATTGTGTCTCAAGTGAACTTTCTAAAAGCAGAAAGGTTAATTTATGGCTTTTGAAGCATGAGTCAGTAGACCCGGTGAATCACTTATTTTTTCTTCATAGACAGCCTTCACATTATCACAGATTTCATTAGAAACTCATTCTACTCTCCTGGCTTTCAAAAAAAAGTATGCATATTTTTCTAGTATCCTTTATGTAACTATATATTTACATAAATATATACATTGCCTGCTGCCAATTAGCATACATTTACGCAAGATGCCCAGTAACCTTGATGATGAGTGAAAGCACCATCAGCAAGTGAAAAGATTCCTGGGAAATGAAAGGAAATCTCAACAAGTATTTAACTTAAGAGTAGGTGGAAGAGACTCATTATTGGCCTGGCTTGTTGCCTTGTTCTGTTTGAAACCTTGATTAAAGAAATAACAAACATGGAATGCTAATTAAACTGTTTGACCAATTTCAATAAACAAGCAGGTTTAATTTGGGGAGAGGGAAGAAGGGTGGGGAGAGAGATGTCCCCCCAGCCTCCCCCCGCCCCCAGCTCTGCTCTTCCTCTCACTGCATCAGTTCTCTTATTTCCTGCTATGAGAGTTCACGTCCCAGAAGGACTCCGGATCAGCAGGGTAGCTGATTCTAGGGTAAAGAAAGAGAGAAAATGTGTAAACTTGGTGAAGCTCGCCACAAGCTCCAGCTTGAGAGCTTCACGGAGGCAGCAAGCCTGTGATTGCAGTCTGTCCAGCTCACGGACTGTCACCTAGCGCGACATGTTGTAAGTTGTGAAGAAATGTGTTTAAATATAAATAGTCTCGACTAGCTTGAGCAAGTAAAACTGCTCCTTTAGTTCAATGCACACACAGCTCAGGGGCCAGTGTCCTAAGCTCTCTGGCTGTATCTCCCTCCACATCAGATGAAAAGTCAGCAATAATAGTGTGTGTAGTATTGTCTATTAGATGGTACATAAAGGCCTGAATTGTGTGTACATACTGTAGCTATACAGAAAACATTACAGAATGAGCCTGCTTTTAGCCCACTGCCTCATACAGTGGTAATTAAGGAGAACTGCCTTTTGATTTGAGACTATTTGCCAGTTCTGCAGGAAAAACAGAGTTTAGACCATCTTGTACTATTCTTTGTTGCCAAGCTTAATCTTCTGATTCACTAGAAACCATTACCCCCA